GTTGGATAGCATTATAAGGTTTAGAGATAACAGGTATATTATTATTTTTTTTTATAGTAATTCATGATAGTTATAGCATTTAGTTATTACTATATACATTTATATATTGGTGTTTTCAAATTCTCTTAACATTCAAGGCTTCTATATAGAAATAACCAGAACCTATTAAATCTATCAAATGTACACATCTTCATACTTCAACTTTTTATTAGCCAGTGAGTTCTGTACTGCCAGAGATATTTCAAATCTGGTAAGGCCAATTTTTTACTACAGGTTCTTTTGTGTTTACTATATTTCTCCTTACTTTTAATTTTGGTTACTATTCAGTCATTCTCCCAAACAAGATCCCCAATGCTGCCTTAGAGGTTGTTGGTGCTATCTTGCTAATTGCGAATTTATATACACAACTTTTGTGTAATAGAACCTTTTATAACAACTATTGTTACACATAGTGCTAACTACTTCACAATGGACCTCTTTCTGAAAATTTCTAATTCAAACCTGTATTCATTTGAACTTTCTATAATAAGTATATTTAAATATTTGTAGATAAATGTACCTACTAGGACTCAAACATGAAACTCACTTATAGAGGGTTGGGTGCCTAGACTACTAGGCCATAGAATCCCAACCATCACTTATATTATTTACAATTTATAATATAAATAAAATAATTAATTTTTATTAAAACAAAATTAATTTTTTTAAGATTAAAGTAAGAAATAAAAGTATTTTTTAAAAAAAATTTGTTTTTAATATACAAAATTAATTTATATATTGTATCTAATCCTGAATTTTAAATTAACTACAAATTTTTAAAAATAGTATACACAGTGCAAAATAACAGTCATAGATGTCTCGAAATAATGCATACCTAATACACAATGCTAATATAGCCAAGAAAAGAAAACAATTATATAAATTCATACAGCCTTCATACATAAATATGAATCGTTATAATGATTTTCATAATGATAACAATAATGATAACAATAATGATAATGATAATGATAACAATTATGATAATAATGATTTGCTACTACATTTTTAACATTATGCAAGTGTAAATGCACGCTACTTTAAAAATATTAAGTCCGGGAAATTGACCATTTATTTTGAAACAACGCACATGGGCGTACTCGAAATAACACGCAGGTCAACTAAATAACGCGCAAGTGGGCGTTATTTCGCGCTTATACGGTAGTAGATAAGTACCATGTATGACCTTAACTGCGGTAGGATAAGATAATCAAAAATTTTAATTGGGTAATTATCGTATGACTCTTGACTATGCAGATAAAAAAAAAAAAATTTTTTTTTTTTGAATTTTTCTCACATTTCAACATTTTAGATTGAGATACTTTTCGACTTTGACATTTTTAAACAGTTTTGTTGTACTAATTTAGTAATTTATTTTTTATACATTAAAAGAAAAAAAGAAAGTTCGAATTAACAAATTTGTAATATTACTTTAAAAAATTTGGTGAAACTAAATTCACCATAGGGAAAAAAATTTAAATATCTTAATAAGGATCATTCATTATACGGTAATCTGGAGAAATGTAACGCAAAAAAATTGATTAATGTTTATTATGTACCTAGGTTAAATACGTACGTGTACTTAAAATGCTTTACGAAAAAAAAGATAAGTATAGTAAGAAGAAAAAAAATCCAAGAAACGTATACCAGGTAATCGGCGGTAAATTATAATAATGAAGGTATAAAGAATAGCCGATTTTGGTATAACACAATAATATGCAATAATGTCGCGTTTTACCCACAAGTATAAATTGGAATAAATGGCGTTAAAAAAAGACATTAAGAATTGAAATGATAATACGTATTAGGTATAAGTTATATATACGTAAGTACCTTCCAAATAAAGAGTAAATGAATCAACACATTCCGAAGTTTACTTTTTTAGGATCAACAAAAAAAGATCAGATCATAAATAATTGGGGGAAATCTTGGCAAAGCATTTTTATTTAGATTAACCGAATTATGATTTCTAACATTCACAATATCGCAATATCGCAATACGTACGTATGTATGGCACCGTTTATTTTTTTTTTATTATTTGATCTTTTATGGTAATCGAATGATTTCTTAGGTAAGAATTTGGGCTGAAGTATTGTTTTTTTAAAAAAAGATAACTGATAACAGACAATGAATTGGACGTTGTGTAATTAATAATAGAACATTTTTGTAAGCGGACAATTTTAGGCTTTACCGGAGGAAACAACAGGTATTCAATATTATATCAGATATATAATATTCAGATATTTAGAAATAAAAACAATTTATATTGGCTTTCAAGTACATACCACATGTGGATTAGTACCCTGCTTATTCAAAATAAACAAATGACGCGATTCTTTTCAAAAATGTTAGTTTCACATTCAAATAATATCATTTATTAGATACAGGTACTGTACGTAGTACATTATTTTCGTGAATTTATAATATTAAAGTTTTTTAACTATAGTACGTATACGTATTAATCAGCAGAATCTTAATTTTATATATATAGTATATAATATATATAAATATATTTACATATATTTACATATATACATATATATATAATTTATATTACACGGGTAGTAACGGTAAATAAGCAAAAAGAATTAAAGGTCATAAAAAAACTGAGCTTAATCAAGATGACAGACACATTTACAAAGTTTGAAAAATAAAAGGTATATCATTACTTTAAACATAAAATGATATCGGACATTCCCAGATAACCCGAAACTCTATAAACGCATAAGTAATAATTAACAGTCAATTAAAGGATTATTTAATAAATTAAAGGCAATAAAATTATTAATAAAGTTTTCCAATTATCGTAAATCTTTTTACAAATATAGAAATGTGAAACAAATACATACATACATAAACTTAATGAAGCCGAATTTTAAATACGCGCATTTATCGAAGGAAGTATCCGATAGACCAAATGATCGAACGACAAACAACCAGTTTTTTATTTATTTTTATTTCATAACTTAATTAAAATTTTCTCAAGTGTTTCAAATTACAATTTATTTACTTTATTTACTGTATGTACTGTATGTACTGTACAAATTATTAATTAAAATATTTTTTTTTAGATTCTTTTTTTGTAAATGTTTTTAGAAATATCTTACACGTAAATGGAAAGGTTTTGATTTAACTTTTGACTTGGCTTTTATTTGGCCTTTATTTGGCTTTGATTTGGCTTTTATTTGGCTTTAAATTTGGCTTTGATTTGGGTTTGATTTGGCTTGGCTTTGATTTGGCTTGATGAGACTTGGCAACCTTAGCAAGCATCGACATTAAAAGAGTTTTTTTTAACCAAATGATTAACTAATGAAGATTAAGTTACCAATAAATTTTGTAAAGAAGTATACTGTACAGGAATATAATAAAACTATATATATATATATAAATTTTAAATTTAGGTTTTTTTAATATACTGTAACATAATATATTTATAAGTATGTACTGTACAATATACACATATACAGTATATTTGTTTTTGATTATAGTTTAAAAAATAAATTACAATTAAAAAGATTTTAATAATAATTGCTCGAAGAAAGGATTAATGAAAGGATTAATTTAGAGTTAAGTCAAAATTCAAATTTTGATTGGTTGTTTTTTTATCATCAGATTATCTTAATCAAAAATAGCCTTTTGAAATTTAACCCAGGTTGTGTTTTGTTTCGCAAAGACGAAACCGAATGATATCAGATTATTGAACACAAGATATTGTATTAGAATCTAAACAATTATTTAATGTTGCAATATAATCGTACAAGTAAACTGTCATTTTAATAAGACGAATCAGATGATAACAAAATCATTCAATTATGATTATGATCGTACAGTAATCAAACATTTATATTCTCTCTATCATATCCAACAGTTGATTAAATGCACATACAATATTTGATTTGTTGTTGTAATTATATATTAAAATTCTACGTGAAGCTTCTTATTTGAGTAATTGTTAGCTAGTACCAAAAACAAAAACTTATTATGTTTTTTTAAATGATTAAATATTAATATATAAGTTATATATATTATATATATATATATATATATATAGTAACATTTAACAAATTAGTCTTGAAACAATCCATATATTACCTAACGATTAAAACTAATCTAATATTAGTTTAGTCTCTTACATTTTGTTAACAAATTTAATTAATATATAATTCATAATACGATACACAATAATTTCTTAAATATTGTATAAATTTAGTTATTATAACAAATTAAAAAAAAATTATACGTACGTATGTACCATACAGAATACAATAATTTACACCTGATTTATCCTAAAAATGCTTTTTCGATCACATAATTAATTTTGTTTTCACATTGTATTTTTAGTCTTATTTTTTCAGTTACCGTTAATGTATCTTTTTTATGTTTGATAAATATATACAAAGATAACGTCAGAGATTATTTATCAAGATATGAACAGAATAATACTTAATACTAGTTCATATCGTACTGTATATCATATATGAAAGAAAGTAAAGCTTTTTGTATTATTATAGTTTACTTCTATGAAATCAATGAATGACTTTGTTCCCTTGCATTAGCATTAATGTTACCATTAATGGCGGTAAAATCGTAACGAAAAATTATTTTAAAAAAACGAAAAAAGGTATGATCATCCTCCTTTACCTTAACAGTGAATAATATATGATTGTTGTTTTTTTTTACTATATTACATCATTAAATAATGTTCTCGTCTCATGAAAGAATCTAAATCAGGAAAAACCATTTATTTTTAACTAATGATGGATTAATGACATCGTTTGATCATTTCGCCTGATTTTTATTAGAAATATAATATAGGCACAATTACGTAATGATTTTTAATTTGTATAAACCGGTGTAAAAGTGGGAATTTTTCAATTCCTTAACTGTCTTTTCCCAAATTTTTGTGGAAATTCAAAAAAAAAAAGAGGTTATATTTCTCTTAAATTGTTAAAAGAACATTATGGAACCTCTAAATTCATCCCAAAATAACCTAATTGACATATCTGAGAAACCGTCAAGACCAGTTTTACCGCGTATTAATACAGGTGATCGTATTAATGCAGAAGAAGATCGTATTACTCCTAAAATCATTGAACCATCGAATGATAATTATGATGACAAATATAATGATCCTGTTACAGTAAACCGAAAGCAAAGTCAAGGCATAAATTTTCTTACTTCCCATTTAGAAGAATTCTTTGTTACCTCACCAACTGATTCTTCAATTGATATTCCAGTACGTGACTTAAGATTTGATGAAGTTGACGTGGTTCTAGTAGCACTCGTTGATCGTGATTCAGAGATGAGAGAATTATTTAAAAAGAACAAAGATTATTTTGAAATGGTTAAACATAGTATCTTTTCTTCTGAAGAAAATGGTGAATGGCAAGAATTTCTCTCAATTCTTTACGCCCCACGTGATCTTATTCCAGATTTGCAATGGATGAATAAGATTTCAGGTTTCTTGGAAATGAATCCACAGCTTTTAGCAAATTTTAAAGAGATAGTTGGATTCTATAATAATATAGAAGATCACATAACTGAAATTAATGATGAGGATGATGATGAAGCTTATTCATTAGTAAATGATGAAATAACTGATTTAGTGAATATAACAGTTATAAGAGATCGACCTAATATATTAGAAAATATATTAAATTCATATCCACAATTCTTTATAAACGCGCAACAAGCTTTAAGTCAAGTGAATAAACGACCAGGAAGTGCTTTAGGTGGAAATCATCTAACCGATAATATACCACTTCGAGATTTTACCGAACTTAATGGGCATAATCATGAACCTCTTTATGAAAATGTTTATGAACATGTTTATGAACATCTTTCTGATTCTGAAACAACGGACATTGATTCTTCTAAGGCACATCAAAATCAGAATTTTGACAACAATAAAATTAATAATAATATTAATAATAATGAAGAAATCAATAGATCAGGAGAAGAAAAAACTCTTTATGATGAATTTAAAAAGATATTAACTTGTCCAAGAAGTGAAATGAGTGATGATGAATGGGAAATGGCTATTTACGAGTGTTTGGATCCCTGGCCCCAACTTGTCGCACAATTTGAAGAAATTGTTGCATATGAAAGAAATGATTAACCTTTTTTATTAACATACATACGTACGTATGTACGTTCGTTAACAATTAACTGTTAAAAAAAAACAATTCTTTTAAATACGTATAGTCAGTGTATATTTTTTTACATACATATATATGTATAATTCTTTTTATAAATATGTATTTTTTTTATAAAAATCTTTTTTATAATATCTTATTATAAAAAATCTTTTTTTATAAAGTCTTTTAACCGCATAAATATAGACATGTACACATACACAAACATTATACTCAATCTTTGCGAAATGTATGAATGTAAAAGTGTGTACAAAAAGTATTGCCAATGACACATTGCACGTACAAAAAAAAAGCAAGTTTTTTTAGAAAAAATAAAATAAAATAATTTCTTTTTTTGCGAAAACTTACGTAAATTGTGCGCCAACGTACGACTTAAAAAAAAAATGTATTGTAAAAAAAATGAAAGGATTTTATTAGGATTTCTTTTAAAAAACAAATTCGTTCATTACCGAAAAGCATGCAGGATCTCACGATTATCATTTATCATTATTAAAACAATTATTATATTTCTGTATTTATTATCGTTATTGAGGTTATTATAATTACTATTACAGTATAATAATATTATTAACAAATGTTTCGAAATACCGTTACTTACAATTACACAATTACTGTATAGTACTATTACAGTATCAAGTATTAATAAGACTGTTCGTATAAGTTATTCAGAATAGAATTATTACTTTTCTTGGAGATCTTATATGCAACTATGTGACCCTTGAAGTTGAATCCAATATGAATAAATAAAGTTAGTCTTTACTATGCATATCGTATCCCATATCGATATCTGATATAGGTTAGTCAAGCCAAAATCTGACCCTCTATTAAAGTCATCCCTTGAAGTTGAATAAATAAAGTTAGCTTTACTATGCATATCGTATCCCATATCTGATATAGGTTCAAGTCCCAAAGTCAAGCCAAAACCTGATCCTCCATTAAATATTTGAACAAGATATTCCTGGTGCTATTCGCATCCCGATCCATCACCATCTCGCACGAATCACATTTGAACGTTTTTGATCCAACAAGTTATTTTTTATGAATCCACATCTTTGATGTATAGTCTTCGGTGCATTCAATGACATAACCAACAGGCCAGTTGATGATGGCACTCATCGATCAAATTATGGATTCGCTGTATGATTCGTAGCATCTTTTTTCTCAATCGAAATCTCTTTTCTTCCCAAAGCAAGATCCCACTCGATTAATTGTATTCTCTTGGTTGTCGATGATTCTCAAAGGAAGGGATACACCAACCTGTTCATTGTTATGTTTACTGTGTTGTTTATTTCTGGTGGTCTTTCTGATGTTATTATGGTTTTCAGAAACACATATTCTCCTTTCTTTCGATTCCAGTCTCTTGCTAGTATCGGTACTTCATTCTAAAATTGTTACCATGTAACTTTTTATTCACCCATGATAGTCTGACCATTGTTGGTAGTTCGTCTCATGCTGTGCAGAGAACATTTATTTGCGCAGCATGAAACGAACCATGAAACAAGCAATCCATGAGACGCACTAACCACAATGGTCAGACAATAGATATTTGCTCAGGGGAGGGACCGAATTTTTTTTGAAAGCGCCCTAAAATACTTATATTGTATTGTTTACGAACCGTGCGTAATTATTAAATATAAATAAATATATATTTATAAATATAAAGAAGATTTTATATATACAATATATACACTTATATGGATGATTGACCTGGCTGAAGAGTAACGTAACACCTAAAATTCATTGATCCATTGTGATCAAGACATTAAGGAAAATCCCAGTGATAATATTGACCCCACGTGTCAAATTCATCTAAAAAAAAATCGGCTAATTTATCCTAAACGTTAATTATTATATTATTACGTAATTACGTAACCGCATATTTTTAAAGAAAAGTCGTTATCTCTTCACTATTTTTTTCTATCAAAAAAAAAAAAAAAAAAGATAATGAGCATTATTTATCATTCATGCATTCATTGATCTAAAACATTTTGACAATAAGCATTATAAATAAATAAATATAATAAAAAAAAAAATTTTATTCTCGATTTAATACTAATGTAATAACGGATTTTACCTGTTAAACAAAATGTGTGAATCATGACCGATTTTAGGAGAAAAATAACTTTTTTTAAAGTACTCCGAAACGCCTCAAAAATCTATCATTCCTGTTTATAATATTAGTAACACAATATCACATGACGATCCCTATTGTATGATTACAAAAATAGAAATAGAACTAGAAAATCTTTGTACATTAAGGGTTCACATTTTTTCAGAATATTTTTAATTTCAAAGGTAAATATGTAAACGTAATTGTGACTCATGTAATAAACAAAAAGCTGCAAGATGAAGTAGAGACAATTGTGAGTAGATATGTAAATGTATGTGAAGTATGTAAGTATGTATGTGAAGTAGTAAGTATGTACGTAAAGTATGTACGTATTTACGTATTGTAACTGTACTTACTGTACGTAGGTTTGTAGGTAGAAAAAAGACATTCGGTAAGATCCATTAAATCATGTAAAATCAATGATTTAAAAAAATCGTGTAGATGGATTAACTTTGTTCCGCGGTTGAAAATTAAAAGATCCTGAGATCGGATTAACAATTTATTTATTTTATTTATTTACTTTATTTTACTTTCTTTTTTTGCTTTTGCTTATCATTATTACAGTATTAATAGACTGACAGTTAAGCGAGCCGGTATCGGTATGAGTTTAATAATTATCTAATATAAATCTAATATAAATCTTTATTATTATTTTAGAACTAAAGTAATACAATAAATAAAATTAAAATTAAAATTAAAATATTATGATCGAAATTTATTGATATTATCGTTATTGATTTTATTGATATTATTATTGATGCTATTAATGTTATTGATATTATTGATAGGGATTACAGGATTATTATGAAAAAAAAATATTGTTTGTTAGAAAACTCCTGAGTTTCAACGAATGAGACACATAATCAGGCTTAAAGATAAACAAAGTAAGTATGCGCATACATTTAACGATACCGTGTTTGTTATTTAAGATTTTCGAAGAATATTCATAAAATCAGATAATACGATTTGCTTATTATTGCATACAATGAGATTTGTCAGGTTAATAAAATACCTGACACTCTTAGTTTGGTATTTACGTTTGGAGCTATGTTTGGAACTATGTTTGAAACTATCGTTAGAACTATGGTTGGGGCAATTTGCATAATTCAATAATTATAACAATAAATATAACAATAAATATGACAATAAACCGGGATCCGTAAAATAGTTGGTAACTTTGATGATTATAAAAAATCTAATTAGAAAAATCTAATTAGAAATTAGAAAAAAAATTTTTTTTTTTTTTTTTTTTGAATTAACCAAAATAACACCTTACAGTATCTTGCTTGTGTTCTTTATCAGGTTTTTTCTCGTACTAAATATGATTAATAATAAAGCTTGACTATTGACTTATTGCAGAGGATTGCATACATTGTCACAATCAGAAAAACAAAAAGAAAAAATGGGTACGCATTCATTTAAATTGACATTTACGGAGGTTCAATAAAGCGGATAAATTTCATCTTGGAATCCATGCTCCGATTAACAATAAGATTCTAATACATTCTATACATTCAGTACATTCTACACATTCTATACATTCTATTATATACATTCTATATGTTCTATATGCGTTCCAAACATTCTATATTATTCTATACATTTCTACGTTTTTTAAAAAAGTAAATATAATAACGTACGTACTATACTGTAAATAAAATACAAGTATTTAATTCTATTGATATGTCGGATGTGTGCAGTATCGGTATTTGAGTACGTGAGTATACACACATACGTATGTGAGTATACACACATACGTATGTGAGTATACACACATACGTATGTGAGTATACACACATACCTATACACACATACCGATACATATAACACATACAACATATACACATATATATACTATTTACGTAACGAATTAAAAAAAACAATGAAAAAGTATTTTTATCAAATGAGTATCATAAACAATACAATAAGAGTATATTCTATGAAAGAGATCGTGCTTTATTTATTTTTATGTGAAATGGTCATTTGATCTAATAAATACCTAATTAAGAATTTCACTCAAAAATAAAGGTCGGAAGAATGACATAATACCCGGACCCCGTACCATTTTTTTGGTACGCTATTTATGTAAATACATATAAAATCTACATATTTGTACAAAGTACTTACACATATTACACATATTACGCATTTACGACGCATACTACATACTACTACGCATACTACGCATATTACGTACGCATATTACGCATACTAAAGCATATCACGCATATTACGCATATAAACATAACATTATTTTTACACACACAACACAATTCACAAATAATTCATAAATAATTCATAAATAATTTACATAACACTTATTATAATTACTTTTATTCATAATTACTGTATGTATACGTATCAATTTTTTAATATCATTAACATCATTATTAACCGGAGATACATTATTTCCCAAAATAAGTTTACAGAAGGTTAATCATAACTTTAAATGTATAAAAGTTTTTTTTATACAAAGTAAGCTATCAAAATAAGTAAATAAAATGTTATCGGACAAAGAATTCTCTGAACGAAAAAAAAACTGTCCGCATGACGCATGTTATTTTACGTTTGTTTAACATACTTTATACATTCAATATCATCATTTCTTAATTAATCATTTTTCATGTGCGTCATCGATACAAGTTTCGGGCCCCCCCCCCCAAAAAAAAAAAAAAAGGTAAAAAAATAATACTAAAGTAATTCAACTGTTAAGGGATCAAATAAGCGGGCTGTTTACGTTTCATCATGTTCATCATGAATTGGCGGCTGCCGAGGTTTCCCAAACAAAGTCACAAACAAGTTAATTTGTAATGAACAATGTTCTCGGTTACTAATTAAAAGTCTTTTTTACGCAACATTTTAAATTTAGGTTTTTACGTACCGCATATTTACATAAACTCCATAATTTACAAGATTGGATCCTAAATGAATAACATCATGGGTTAGTTCATTTTTCCATTCTTGGATCCATACAACTTCTTTTTAGTATTCTTATTCGATGTTCATTCATCGACCCATCTTTTTCTCCTGTTCTATTTTGATCTTTATTACAAATATGCTTATCAAATATAATCTACATTATTACATTATTTATGACAATAGTCCATGTGAGTATAATAATATTTTTAACAATATATCTTTTAAGTCTACACTTGATCTGGTATTATTCAACTTTAGGTACGCGGCGTATCTTTGGTCATCTTTGGTCATGCAATAAGTAATAATCATGCATGACCCGATAATCATTTTGTCTCAATTAGGTCGGAAAAATCCTTGTTTATTCCGAATCATTTTTAAAATAATCATTACCCGAAGTGTGAATCTGTGAATGTATTTTGATTTACTATATAATTACTATATAGATATAGATGTAAATATTGAAACTAAATAATCCAAATGTTTTAACTAAACTAAATGTTGTTTTAATAAATACTGTATATAATCGTTATATTTTATTATTATTTTATTATATTTTATACGTACGTATCATATATATCATATATACTACGTATATTATCATATATATACTGTATTTTGAATTAAAATTATTATTATTATTATTATTATTATTATTATTATTATTTATTGAACTAATCGTTATTGTAAAATGTTAAACTAAATTATATTTGAACTACTAGAATTGTTGCATTTAACAATCTCAAATGAAATAAAAAGACAAAGAAAAAAAAATTTCCCTATTCGCCGTTTTTATTTTTATTTTTATTTTCTATATATCATACCACCTTTTACTACTACTTATTATCACCTCACTGTCTATCCTTTTGCAAATTCCGCTTATATAATTATATCATTTAATTTTTATAAAAGGTGAGTTAAACGTCCCCTTCTCCTTTTTTTTCCCTTTGTATTTATAATAACTTTCTGACTGACTATCTATCTGTCTGTCTGCACTGTCTGTCTGTCTGTCTGTCTGTATCTGTCAAAAAAAAAAAAATTTTTTTGTGTAAAAAAAAAAAAAAGAAAAAAAAATTCTTTTTATATATATTTATAAAAAAAAATGTTTAAGATGTCGTACTACTGTTTCGAAACTGCAAAGAATCATCGACTTGTAAGTCCTTACTCTCAGTATGGTAGACCTCCTTATCAATTATCAAGATCCGAAATTGTTGAACGAATAATTGCTGAAACGATCGATGATGCTACTCTTACAAAAATAAAAAAACATACTACTCTTCCTTTACCTGAACTTATTACTCCAAGTGTAAATGTTCGAACTGTTAAAAATCCAAGACCTCAAAATAGTTTTGTAATTTATCGAAGAAATGTTCAAGCTGAAATAGCTAAAGAAAAAGGTGCTACAGCTGCTGGTAGATTGGATTATGTTTCTAAATTTGCTGCTACTAAATGGAAACAAGAATCTCAAGAAGTTAAAGAACTTTACGGTTTTCTCGCTATATGCGCAAAGAAAGTTCATGATTTCATGTATCCTGGTTATGTTTATCAACCTAAAAGACAAGCTACCACCAATGAACCTATGATAATGGTGCATGAACCTGGTATAAATGGTAGTTGTAAATTAAGACAACAAACTGTACCAACTCCTCCTGAAACTCCTTTATCATCTCCTCCGACGAGGTTATCAAATCAATATAATTCTCCTCCATTGTATCAACCTCAACAACCTTTACCACCACCTCCTCCTCCGCTTTCTTCTGCTGCTTCGATCGATCATTTTCAACCTTATGGTTCACCTTATGGTTCTTTTGGTGCTTTTCCTCCACTTCATCATTTATCTACTGTTCCCCCATCAACACTTCCTCCTCCTTCAACACTTGATATAAACATATCTTCAAATATCATGTCAAATTATGATCGAAGAATAAGTAAAGAAATTGACTTGGCTGTAAGATTGTAGATTTATCACTGTATCGTATCGTGTTGGGTTTCGGGATTTTTGGTATTTGTAAATTATTATTATTTTTTTATTTCAAAAATATTTATAGAAGAAATTTTTATCTCTTTGGTTGCTTTCAAGAGAACTTTTTTTTCTTTCTCTGTGCGTGCAAAAAAAACAAAAAAAAAAAAATAGGGTGGTATTATAAAAAAGAAAATCCTGCATTATCAATGTCATTGTAAATTATTTATCATATACATATTTTTTTTTATAAAAAAAAAAAAATGCGATAAGCAAAAAAAAAAAAAAAAAGACCTCTTCTTCCCCACGATTTTTTATTCTTTCATTTTGATCCTTTTGTTGTAAATTTATTTTTTAAACGAATGTTTATATCATCACTACATTAACTTACTACACATTAAATATCATTATGAAAAAAGAATAAAAAGAATTATTCTTCTTTTCATTTAAAAGATATCATATATATCGATTCATATATATCATTTTGATTACATTCATTATATTTTTTCAGCATTTTAACACAAATATTTTTATTACACGCATTCATTTTTTTTATATCGTACGCATCTTTTTTCTTCTATATATATATTTATATATATAACAAGCACGCATTCAATTTTTTTTTTTTTTTTTTTCAAAAAGAAAAAAAAACTATCTTGTTTATTTTTTGTATATGAAATTTTAAAAGACAATTATGATCAAAGAAACTCAAATAAAATATCATTTATAAATGTTAAAAAAAAGTTTTAAAAGTTTTTTTTTCAAGATAATTTTCAGAATTGGAATATGTCTTTGAAATGATGGTTTATCGTTCGTATCGTTATTGATAAAACTTATATAATCACATTCTTTAGAAATAAACCATATTCTTTAGTAATATACTTTAGTAATAAACTGTAACGAAAACGAATAAATGGAAAAATACCCCACATACTACGTACGTACGTACGTACCCTGATTTGTGTTCCTTCTACTTTTGGAAATTGAAAACTCATCAAAAAAAACTGATCACCAGAATTTTTACGGAACATGCAATGCATAAGCATAGGATGAACGCATTATTTTATCCGTGCGTCGATAAGTATTCGTTTCAGGTACTATATAAATATTCTCCTTCGATAAATAATAGATAAATAATAGATAAATAATAAGCATATCGTCATAATGATCGATTTTTATTTTAACGACGATTCTCTTATTTTCTTTAGGTGATGATTCTCTTTTACTTCTTTTAGTTGTTGATTTCTCTTATTAACGTTAAATTAGTCTTTTTTATTAACTTAAACGTTAATTATTCATTTTATTCGTTAATTATTTCATCTATTCCCCTAAACAGTTGATTCATTTTATTCACTTAACGTTAAAATGATGATTCAACTTACATTTAGGCGAAATAATTTTGCCTAAACTAATCAAAGGTAGCTGTTTTTGGCACATGAGACGCCAATCTAAAATAATTACATGAAACAACTTAATTTATCTAAATTACGTAAAATACGCCATATTAAAGTTAATAATATTATTCTTGGTTTATCGTTATCGTTACGTATTATTTAATGTTTATGTGAAAATCTTTCGGAATCATCCCGGAGATAATCTTTTATCTATAATCCAAAACTAGTAAAATAATAATCAAAAAAATATATATACTAAAGTATATAAAAAATGTTCGATCAAAAAAGTCTTATAACTTCGATTTTGTATAACCTTTTGTTTCGCGTGCGTTTAAAATTACTTTATATTAATTTATTAATTTATTTATCGGTATGTTTCAAATGAACTGATCCGATACCGTTATTGTTTATTTTTTTATTGTTTTTTTCTATACGTACTTTCTTGTACGTACGTGCTTAAACAATTCTTTTTTGTTTATCTTTTAAATGAGCCAATTAATTAATTAAAACAGTAATAACTTGAAAATCTCATTACTCTCCCTTCTCTAAAAAGAATTCCCTATTTACATATATCTTTTTTAATTTTAAAAATAATTCTGTATTTTATCTATTTTGCTTTTTTTTTTGTTTATCTTGTTTATCTTTTTTTAAAAAAAATCATTTACTTGTATGAATAAACTTGAATCTGCGTTGCAAAATTTGAAAAAACACCTGGAAATCTTTTTTCTTGGGGTCACTCAACATATTGTACAAAAAATATAATAAACTTATAATATACTTGTATATTTTATTAATTTTAAAATATATTTATTATAAATTGTATTAAAAAGTTTAATTATTGTTATATATACATCTTTAAAAAAGTAAGTTTATATGGTCATTATTAGTATAATTTATTATTTAGATTTATATATGGATTTCGCATAAACCTATAGCCGAAACCTTTGGAGTTGATAACTATGAAAACTCAAAGATTAAGCAGAATACTTTTTTATAGATTCTCAGTTAAAGCTATGTAAAAGTTACAAATTTTCTACTTAGAATTACAAAATATATTATTGCTCATGTAAATAATAATTGAGACCAGTAAAACCTTTTAATGAATTTATTAAAAAAAATTTTATTGAAGAAACTAATAAGAATTATATAAAACTCAAAAAAGAAATGACTTTTACTAAAACGCACTTATAGTGTTTTATAACCATCTCCAAAACTAGCTAATTAATCAGTACAAGATGTCCTAAGTAAAAATACTTTACACCTCTAAAAACCTTTCCCAAACCCTATCTCTAACCCTAAATACTAACACTAACATGAAAAAATTGTGTTATATTCAAACCTTAGAAAAATTTAAAAAATATAATAGACACATAGAAATTACTGTATATAATAATGATAAAAACTTAAAACTTGCAATAATATATAAAGAGAGGCTTGAATTATAACTTTGTTTAGAATTATATACTTGTTTTATTTTTCAATATGAATATACTGTATAATAATATTTTAATTTTTAAAAATATTATTGATAAAATTAATTTTCTAAAAAAATAGTTTTTTAGAAAATTTATATTATAAATATAAAAGAATTAGAATTTACACTTTAATAAATTAAAATATAATTTAGATTTCTTGATTATCATCATTATTAGTAACAAACCTTCTTTAATCTATCTATCTTCTGTATGTCCGTCTGTTCCACTGGCCAATCAAATATTTCTATCACGAAACATGACTTAGATCGATATTAAAAAACAAAATCAAATAACTCCGTGATAAAGGCTACTTAAATTGATATTTGCTACTGCACACAGTGTACGAAATCAATGTTCTCAATGTTATCTAGAACCAATAGTTCTCTATCTGAGAATATCTATAGTTCCGAAATTAAGCACCATTAAATTTTGTATAATATCCAAAAATAAGCATCCCCTAAGAATAATTGTATAGGATTTTTGTACTAAGTAACCCCGCTTCAGTGGCAGGATCATCAAAATTGAACTTTCAGAATTGCTCTTCAAAGTTCGGCGATATTCGCTTGTATGATCTGCAGATCATATAAGCTAATGTAAACGAATATCGCCAAACTTTGAAGAGCAATTCCGAAAGTTTTACTGGACCAATTTTTGATGATCCTGCCACTGTTAGAATCGTTCTGACAAGGAGAATAACTTTACTTAGAGCCGGAAGTAGGTTTACTTAGCACCAAAATCCTATATTATTAATTTTTTATATTTATATCCGAAAATAAGCACCTGCTATAACAAAAAAAAAGGGTACTTATTTTCGGAACTATAATTTTTCTATGTTGAGAATATTAAAAAATTTTTGTGAAAATGAAAACTTAAAAAATGTTCTCAGTGAGAACATAAATGAATTTCACACACTGACTGCACGTGGGTATACCGGAATAATGTTTTACAGAAATAAAACATACTATACCATACCAGAACAGTGTGTTTTACGGGAGTAAATCAATGAGGATTGAACGTTGTGATTTTTCATCAGTAAGAACTATCAAATCCAAGCTTTAGCTCTGGCTCGACAGACTCCCACATATGTGGTTTTTTTTTTAAAAAAAAAAAACTCAAAGTTTCATTCTAATAGTGAAATGCGAATGGTATGCATTTTTTGGTATAGCCGTGTAAAGCTATATTGGAATTCATATTAGAATTCATATTGTTATGGGGGCACAACAAAAGATACAGAAGGGTGTAATTTACAGACAACTTCATTTCATAGACAGCATATTTCACCCACAGCTCATTTAACATAACTTTAATTCTAAACCTAACCCTAACGACAATGATTAGAATTACTTTGTGAAATAAGCTGTCGATGAAATATACAGTCTACGAAATGAGTTTGTCTGTAAATTAATCGTCTTTAAAATAACTTGTCGGTGAATTGATCAGATAGTTAATTATGATGATAGCTACTGTATATATGAATATAAATAACTTATCAATGATAAGCTATAATTTTAGTATAATTTACCAGTATAATACATACATTCCTGGTTTTAATACAACCATATTGCGTAACCACTTCATTTGACAAATACAATCATCAGATTAGGTTAATTGATAAATGGTTATTCGCAGGCAATTAATGCAAATAAAAAAAGTGGTTAAATGAAATGTAAATAACTTATGCACTTTTTTTGCATAATCTTTAGTTGGTAAATATACTGTAGATTCGCTTTCTTTTTTGTTACATATAAGCATAATTTTTTTAGTCGGTAAGCGCAATAAAGTTTAAATCATTTAAGCGCGTTGTGCAGGCAATGCGAGATACGCTAGTTTACATTAAAAGTCGATCTAAATTATTCTTTAATTGGTGAAAATTAAAGAATCACTCGACCAATTAATTAACGAGATATTATCAAATATACGTATGAATATAAAAATATAATTTTACTATGCTACTATTATTTTTTTCTTACTATACTTATTTACCCAAATTCCGCAAATATTCTAATGTTTTTTTTTTTACCTTTTTATTAATTTATAAACTTCTATTATACACACTAATTAAAATATACAGTGTATTTAGTAAAAGTTTGAGATAACTTAGTTTCGGAAATTATTTTTCCAACCACCACGTAGAGGTGTATCTCTTTTGTTGGAAGGTATAATATAGGTAGGCTCGGTGCTGATTTAATCAAGGCCACCTATCAAATACAGGCTCAAAGTGTACACAGGTAAAGCAATAAACCTTTTTTTACAAGTATTTTTTCAAAAGTTTTTGGCGTGATATGCAACTTTTTCAAATATTTTCTATTATCTAAATTCTTTCCGTATGGTTTGAAGATATTTAAAAAGGTTGCATATCACATCAAGAATTTTTGAAAGAATACTTGCTGAAAGGGTTTAATGTTCTACCTGTGGTAGTACCTGTATCTTTCTTAATATAGTACCAAGTCTCCCGTACTATAACTCCATTTTCTCTTCTACACCTCCTGTAACGAAGCTTTTACTTAAAAACCTCTACGCCCAGGTTTTTTGACCACTTAAATCAAGGAAGGAATGTAACTGGCTTCTTATCGAGAACCAATGAACTTTGAAATAGAGGAGATGCAAAAAAGCTGGACGTCATGGAGAAGATCATTGAAGCGAAGAAGAAGCTAACTTAGCATGAAAATAAAAATTCAGTAAACACTCCAAATTTAAATTGTTTTGATTATCACGTACACCTGATCAATTTTTATTGGTGATCAACGTGTCAACAATGGAAATCCCGAAATCCAAAATCCCCATAATCCCGACTAAGACAGGATACCGACAAGTCAAGATACCGAAAAGTCAAGATCCCGACTAAGACAGGATCCCGACAGTTTACAGCTGTTTTCATAAATTATGGGACACCTAAAAATTTTCTCGTTTCCCGAAATCTCTTCGGTTTCGTCCTATGGATCATCTAACTCTTCGGAAAATATATCGCTATCTCCGGAATGAAGTTCCGAAGACAATGACGTAATTCCGAAGAGTTAGGTGACCTTTAGGACGAAACCGAAGAGGTTTCGGGAAACGAGAAAATTTTTAGGTGTCCCAGAATTTATGAAAACAGCTGTAAATCTCGAAAGTCAAAATCCCGACTAAGACAGAATTCCGGCGGTTTAAGATCCCGAATTGGTCAAGATCCCGAATTGTTAAAAATCCCGAATTTTCAAAATCCTGAAAGTCAAGATCCCGAAAGTTAAGATCCCGAAAGATCAAAGTCCCGAAGTCAAGATCCCGAAAGTCATGATCTCGAAAGATTAAAATCCAGAAAGTCAAAATCCCGAATGGTCAAATCCAGAATGGTCAAAATTCCGAAGGTCAAGATCCCGAATGGTCAAAATCAAGAATGGTCAAGATCCCGAAAGTCAAAGATCCCGAAAGTTGAGATCCCGAAAGTCAAGATCCTGAAGGTGAAATCCCGAAAGTCAAAATCCCGAAAGGTCAAATCCAGAATGGTCAAAACCCCGAAGGTCAAGATCCCGAATGGTCAAAACCAAGATCCCGAAAGTCAAGATCCTGAAGGTCAAGATCCTAACTAAGACATGATCCCTTGTCAAAATCAAGTAAAGATCACGAGGAATATTATATGGAAGATATCCAATAAAAAATTCTGATAAATTATTCAAAAGAATAATCAAGAAACGTGTCGGGCAAATGCGTGAGCTATGCGAAATAATTAATTTTTGAGTATCAAAAAAATATTAGGATAGAATTTAATGTAGGTAGTTCTATAGCAAATCAGTGTAATTTTTCTTTTTTTTAATTTTTACTGCTTATTGCGGTAAATGTATTAGTGTAAATTAAAATTTTGAATAATAAAATCTTCAAAATATGTGCTTACAGATCGATTTGTAAGGATAAAGATTGAAATATTGAATTTCATTCGAATAATCTGAGCACTACGTACCAATGTGGCTACTAATTTAGGGTACCGGTATACATATCGGCGGATTTTTGGAATTTACTATTGAAAATTCCAAAATTATTTAACAGTGAATAACTTTTGATCCACTGGTCCGTTTTCGACAAAACAATTACCAAAATGTTCGTCTCTGTGAGACGATTCTAATAGACACAAAATCGTCAAAATCCAATCACAGAACCCCGAGATCGATAGAGATTTGCGTCACTTCGGGTGTTTTAGGATTGGTTAAACCAATCCTAAAACACCCGAAGTGAAACAAATCATCAAATATATCGGGATCCTGTGATTGTATTTTGGCGATTTTGTGTCTATTAGAATCGTCTCACCGAGACGAACATTTTGGTGGTAATTGTTTTGTCGAAAACGGATCAGTGGATTAAAAGCTATTCGCGGTTAAATAATTTTGGAATTTTTAATAGTAAATTCCAAAAATCCGCCGATATGATTGTTTATTTAAAAATAATGGTCAACTTACCCGGGCATACTGCAAGTACCGGTATATTGTTTATTCATAATAACCTATACATCTTGCTTTAATAGAGTTCTCTATTAAATATTATTCTTTGTTCTTTTATTTAGTGTTAAATTATCAGGGCACAAAATATACTGTTTATTCATAAAATGACCTTTATATTTTATCGTCAATAGTGTTCTCTAATGAATATTATTACTTCTCTGCTCTTTCATTTACGCATTAAAAATAATGTACTGTACATTTTATACATTTTATCTTTAATAGATTTTCACTTTGTAACTCTTTTACTGATGTGTTAGACTATCAGCTTGTAAGTATATTTATTGGCTGCTTCGCATTCAATAACTATACTGTATTTGCGCGTAATAGCGGGCCGGGCGTTATTTTGAGCCATGGCCCGAATTAAGCTTAATTCGGGCCATGGCTCAAAATAACGCCCCGACCCGCTATTACGCGCAAATACGGTATATTATAAATTTTATCGTCAATATAAATCTCTATTAAATAACTTCTCTGTTCTTTTCATTTATGTGTTAAATTACCAGGGCGTAAGTATAGTTTATTCATAAAATAATGTACGTAAACATTTTATCATCAATAGCAATGTTGTCACTGGAAGACCGCTGGAAGCAAAATTAATAGTATCACTGGAATTTTTACTATTGCAAAATCTCACAGAAAAGCCAGAAATTCTCACTGGAAGCCAAAGTTAACAACACTGATCAATAGAATTTTCTATTAAATATTACTTTTCTGTTTTCTCACGTGTTAAATTACCGGCTTGTAAGTATATAGTTGATTCATAAATAATGTACATGTTTTATCGTTAATAGAATTCTCTATTAAATATTACTTCGTTCTTTCACTTACGTTTTAAATTACCAGGGAGTAAGTATAGTTTATAAATAATGTACACATTTTTATCATCAATATAAAAATCTTTAATAAATTTTATTTCTCTGTTCTTTACTTACATGTTAAATTACCAGGGTAAATATTTAGTTATTCATAAAATAATGTACATATTTTATCGTCAATACAGTAGAAATCTCTATTAAATATTACTTCCCTGTTCTTTTCAATAGCATATTAAATTACCAGTATATAAAGTATATAAGTATATAGTTTATTCATAAAATAATGTACACATTTTATCGTCAATAGTAAATCTCTATTAAATATTGCTTTTTGTTCTTTCGCTTACGTGTTAAAGTAAGTATATAGTTTCGTCAATAGAATCTCTATTAGATATTATTTCTCTGTTATTTTCACTTACGTTTTAAATTACCAGCTTGTAAGTATATAGTTGATTCATAAATAATGTACACACATTTTATTGTCAATAGAAATCTCTATTAAATATTACTTCTCTGTTTTCTAACGTACGTGTTAAATTACCTGGGCGTAAGTATATCAATATAGTTTATTCATAAAATAATGTACCGTATTACCGCGAAATAACGACCATGGGCGTTATTTCGAGGTTTGGCCCGAGTTAAGGCCGGAATCCATAATTTCACCCTGTGCGTTATTTCGCAATACGGTACACATTTTTTGTTATGTAATTTTACAAACTTTGTACAATTACAGACTATAATTTCCCAATACCATTGTGAAGGTATTAAAAGAATTAAAAACTTGAGTACTTTGTTAATCTTTTCAAGTATTACATCATGGTTAATTTGAATTTTTTTTTTTTTTTTTTGTTAAGTGTCTAGAGACTAGAGTTTATTGATTTTTTAGATGTACAGATCACAAGAACCATATTACAAATTGTATTTACAGTACTAGGTTTAATCTAACCAATCTATACCCAACATATTATAAAACCCTAGTATTTACATTTTATTTATTAGTAAGTTTTCAGCCCAAACCTTCTACTTACCTAAGATGGGCACTGGCTACAAATGTCTAAATTTGAAATTTAAAATTATAAGATTTCAATTCTTTCTTGAATTAAGTTATAGTTTTTAATTGTAATATTTGTTTTCTTTTATAAATCTCAATTAATTAATAAATTAAATATTGCCAAGCAAAACAAATAAGTACAAATATTATTATTTGTACTTAAAAATATATATTAGTTACCAGAAAATTTGTTTAAAATAGTATAGTTAATTTTTTGTATATTATTATTTCAAGCAGATAAAATAGCTCTGTGTTTTAAATATTTAATAGTAAGTATTTTATTTTGAATATTAGAATATGTTGTATTAATAAAAAAATTTATATTAGAATTAACTATTATTTATTTTGGAAATATAATAGTATTTCATCAACTCTCCCCGACAATCATTTGGACCAATTTTTCTGCTAAAGAAAACCAGTTTTGTTGGAGCATTGTCTATACTAAGGTGCAGTAGGATAACATAGAATATGGTTTTTGTAGAAGTCAACTATTTCTGCTATTGTGGGGACTCCTCTATATATTTAACATGCAAGCCGAAAGCGTCATTATACAAGATAACTGGCAAAAGGTGGCACTCTTGTACATGAAATTTTGGTGAAGTGAGAAACCTCCATTGACGAAGTTATCTATGGCAAAACAGTGGGAAACAACAAAACAAGCTTTTTCAACACTCTTGTTTGGAAATTTTGAAGAACCTACAACCGAAAACCTCTTTCCATATTCTTGCTTAGTTTGGATTTTTTTTAGGAAATTTTTGCTAAACAAAAAGTGGAAAAATCAGCATACTCTCTCCAAAAGATTTGCATTGTTTACCGATTCCAAATTGGGAACAGGAGTCACGAGGAATCACGGATTCAGCGGCCCAGGAATTCTAATTATGGCAGCAGGTAGCTTAAGATATGGGTTCTCGAACGGCGGCAGCACCTGGCTCAAGATACGAATTAGGACGGGCGATTAACAAATCAAACTGTGTCATGTGAAACAAGAACTAATGTTGACTGTTTGGAGATTTTTTATAATAATTCTTGCAGAGCTAACTCTACCCCAAAGATATTTACATCTAAATCTAGAGTAGAGCTAAATTTAAGAGTATTATATAATTTTTTAGCCGTGATATGGCTATATTATTTTGTTAGGATTTTTTCTTCTCTTTTTTTTTTCTTTTTTTAAATATGGTTTTCTTTTTTACTTTTTGATGTTTTTTTGGGTTTTTGTTAGTCACTTTCATTTTGTTTACTTTTTAAAACTTTTCTCTTTTATCTCGTGCCCTTTGAGAAGAAGGAAGAATTAGAAGGGAAAGAA